AACTCGTTCTTTCACACTGGGAGCAACAAGTGTACATATTTACTAGTCAAAACGATGGGTCGAGTTACTTTCAATGAGGCTTCGGTCCTCTTCCAGCAGCGACTCCATAGCTTCGTAACGATTATGACGTACCTTTACATACGCCCATCAGTGAGAAGGTGTACAACAGTATTGGGAAATATGTTAGTTTTCCTCAGCTGAGCTCAAGAGTTCCTAAAGCTCCTTATAGAATTCGGGTAGAAGTGCGAAACAGAAATCAATAAGAATCTCCCAAAATCTTCTCAATGTCACCATCACGTGCATATTCCGAGTACTGACTCACACAGGACATGAGGACTTCTACTCCTCTGTTCTCCAACGCGTCCTCTACGTCTTCCAACGCCTAAGAACACCACATCGTCCCTTCCTAACACACTGTCGTGTTCGCACTCTCGAGGTCGTATCGTTATGATCTCTTTCCGTTATCGCCTGAGTGCGCAGGCGTGTATCCATTATAAGGGATGGATCGGGCTGGACAAGGCGGCCTCTGTTGGGTCGGAGGTGGCGCTCCGAGTCCAAGCAAGAATATGCTCTCGTTGGCAATCTTATATAAGCATCGCCGATCTCTGTTGAAACGAATAATCCTCGTGTAACGGGATCGCGCACGCCTTCCAGTGTATAGATGTCCTGTATGTCAGAACCCTATATGTCTCTTGCGCTCGCGTATGGTGGTCAGCGAGAGCTATACAGTGCGTGTTAATGATATGCAAATGTGCGTTATATTTTCCGAGATTAAACTATATCGCATATACAATGTAACAATGGCTATGAACATATGTTGTGATGAAAGTACCCGTTTGGGACTGTGATGATAGCGACAACTTGTTCACTATAATTTGTCCTACAAAATAACACACATTTGCATCGATCAACTTCACACCTTCTGTTATGTTTCATCAAGACCTACGTAAATTACCTACTTCTCTCCACCGTATAATTATCTATATCATTAAAGCACTCCCCCTCAGAGGACAAGCCGTCCGGCGCTACACAAAATCCTTCCTTTCAACAGCCTGTCCCAACGCTCACCAGCAGAACTCTCTTGTCTCGGCAAAAGATCGATCATAGGAGCGTCCGGCGTCACAGTCTTGCGACCTTATACACCAAGATGGTCGTAGGAATATTTTTTTCACTTCAAACCTCGCATAGACTTTTTCGCGTCAGTCAAAGAACTGCCGAGGGCTGTATCATCACCACTAGCTAGATTCGGTAAGGCTGTCAGACTGAGGAAATGCAAGATTGCAAGATTTCAAGATATACCATCTTTCACTGTTTCTGGTCAAGAGATGGTGGCGGTTGACGACCTGGGATTGCCGAGACTGATGGGATCTGATGAATTTGGAAATCCCCTCTTATGAGCTCATACGACCACCTGTTGCAGTGTGGGAACATATGCACATTGTAAACTTCATGTATCGGTGATAATACGGAAATTGTGACGGAGTTCCTATTGGTCTCCGTACACTCCTACCTATGATCAGTTGGGAAACTCTGAGGGTGAATATACATGTCTCCAACACTGACCTGTTGTTTAATACGAGTGGCGATCTTATCTACTAGGCCGTCATCGTCTAGTAGCAACTGTACGAAGGCGTCCTTCACAGCCATCGCGATTCCCGACCGTTCCTCTATAGAAAGAATCGGATGGTTAGGGATGGAGGCACCACCACCTCGAGAGGTCCTCTGAGGAGTACTCTCTCCTCTCAGCGATGTAGAAGTGTCCTCGACACCAATGTGGTTTAAATCTAAAGCTTGAGCTCTATTGCGGGTATTCATAGACCTTCGATGTTGCCTGAGGAATCCTCCAATACCGTTCCCGGTTGAAGTTCATCATCGCCACCACGCGGTGTGGAAATCTCATCTGTCGGGGAAAGGAATATTGTTTTTGTGAGAAGGAGCTATAAGGACCTCCATTTGCTTGTAGTTCCATATCGTCCCCATCTTTCTGTAGCGTTGAAGTCTTCCTATACTTTTCAGTTATCTACAATTCCGCACCGTCACGCGCCACGAAATTCAACTCTGGTGAGGGGAGTCTCACTTCGTGTCTTTGGGAAATAACCCGGGCCGCACTTTCACAACGGAAGTTCTCT